GACTCAAATTGACCTAGCCCATATTGACAGTGTTAATAAGCGTCTGTTTAATTCTGCTGTGTTAAGGGTTTATATCATATTTTGTTTTTTCATTCAGTGTTAAAGAAGTTTCCATGAATTCTGTGTTAAAGAGCATTCTGATGAGAATATTATGCACTTTTAATCATCATTAAAAGAATTGCATTGTATTGTAATGTATATTATGTCCTGACATAATATTTTTTATAATAATAGTTTTCATTTTGTAATATGTTAAATTGGATATTACTTCTGTTAATGGGCTTTTCTTTATGTATTGTATATCGCTTTAAAGAGTTTTAATTTTGGTTCATCATTAAAGAGTATTTTGATGAAATTAGTATTGATTTGTATTTCTTTGTTCGAGTTGTATTGTCTGTATTTACATGGATGATAGAAGGTTACCATACTCAAGCACATGTAAAGATATTGTTGATTATAAAATCTAAAGATATAGGTCAGGCGATACCTCATGGTTACAACTTATTTTCTATTACGAATTACTAGTCATGTGAGCACCACATACGTTTGCTCAGTAAACCCTCATTAGTAGATCTTCAGTGAACATGGTAGGAAATACATTCCCACATAGTCTCCTCAAAACATTCACACAAATGGGAAGTTTTCTTGGGAAATGCTTTAAAGCTTTCAAGTTGGTCCTGTGGAAAACTGATCCATGGTACAACTCATTGATAACTGTATTGCACTGCCTATCTCTGAGCCAATACACTCCAAGCTTTTAGATCCTTGAAGCCTTTAATGGAATGGTTCAGGTTTTCCTTTGCAGTTTCCTTGAAAATTAATTGGCTTATGTACATAATATCACCATAAGCTCTTAATGCCAACTTCTCAACCAAAATCCATCCCAGATGTTCCTGGAAGTCCTTCATCATCTTACTGGGGTCCAGAATTGTGCACATACTGATGAATGTGACATTATCAGGCTCATTCTTCAATGCAATGATGCCATCATATTGACACAGTATGTCATTACATTCCATTTTGACTTCTGCTACTAGATGTATTATTAAGTTTTGTTGGTATTTCTTGTTGGCCAGGAAGGCTCTTCACTTCCTCCAAAATCTGTCGAATCATAGCA